ACATTGATAAGTATATTTATAGAAATTCATGAAGTTGATATTTCATTTATCTTACTTCCATCTACATCTCAATATAGGATTACTAGAATTCTAGGACGAAAATTAAGCCCTACAGAACAAGTGACAGGTATTTATGCTCCAGTTGCTCCAATTACTCTTGAAGGATTTGCACGTTCAACAGTAAATATTCCAGATGATGCAACACACTTTTGTTGGCTCTATCCACCTAAGCTTACATCTAATGATGATGATGTTACTTCGAATAATTCAGATGAATCAAATTTATGTAAAATAGGTGGATTTGCATATTTTAATACTACTGACAACAATATTGACAAACTTCGACTTATTCGTGTTAACTCATTGATTGTACCTGCTAACAATGGACTAACTTTTGAAGGTCCATATCCTTGGAAAAAAGAATTCACAGATCGTCTTTGGACACAAAATCGATTTCAAGTAACTTTTTGTTTTTTAATGATTTTAACTAATATCAATAATGTTGGGTTATTTAGTCTGTAACACTACCGTGTCTTCTCGAAAAAGGTGCACGATATTTTGCTTTTATTAATCCTTATGAATCATTATCTAGTGAAAATGGTCAATCATCATGGATACCATCATCACATGGAGCCTTTGTATATTTATTCAATGAAGATCATTCACCACATGTATTCGATTGTTATTTTTCTGTAGCTGATAATTGTTTAGGTGTGTCACCAAGTGATGAAAAATGATGAACATATATTGACACAATGGTTTTTCATTTATCTTCTATAGACTAATATACATTAATTAAGCAATCTATTTATCATTTTATCTATTTACTAATCTTGATGACACCTTATTTGTCAAATTTTAGAGAATAGATGGGCGCCAAAACTAATGCTGCTTTCCAAGTCTTGATATGAGTGTGATATAGATCTTGATATTTATGTGATGTACTGTAGACTTCGATTTTAGTATTTCCTTCCAAATATTAATCAAAATATTGACTTTATTAGAATAAAGTAGAAGGTGTTTTTTCTTATACGTTGTTATATTTATTTTTTGTGACATGATAAAATGCATGAAGATGATGGAATAACTGCTGCTGAATTACTTGTAAAACTGATTGAAATATGATTTTCGAAGTTTGACAAATGCTCTACTGTAACATATATGAAGAGTGTTGTTATATTTCTAAATCATTAATCATAAGTTCTGTAAGAATATTTTACCAAGAGAAGTATTCATTATGTGAAAAAGTTGTGTATAAAATTACTACATATATACGTTTCTGATTATGTCACAAAAACGGGATAAGAAGAAAACCACAGACTTTCATTTAACATTACTATTCTGGAAATCCTCTTAAAAATGGATACGATATTGAACAAAGTATGTGCTTGGTGTGTTTGAAATAATACTTTAACATTTATTCATGATGTACACATTCTGTTTTTCGGCATAATTGCAAAAAAAGTGATTGAACAGTATTTATTCTTTGCTTAATATCATCTAAAGATGTAGTATCTCAGGATTTTAGATTTTAATGGAAGTTTCGATTGAACTTACTGCACAAAAAAAATACTAATTATCTATCGATTGGTTTACGTTATGATTGTGAAAACTTTTTCGTCGTGCAATTTTTATATGCACTTAATTCATTAATAATTGCCATTTTTTCCTTTTGGGCAAATTATATTACCAACCATTTGAATTCAAGTGAGACAGATTCTAGTTTTTTGCCTAATGTCTCTTTTACTTTCCTTCTTTTTTTGAAAGTAAATACGTCTGTTCTACAGAATATAAACTATTAATATGCTTTGAACAGAACAATGATGGAAAGTTATATTGTTAAGTATGATCAATCGGTATTACAATTGCAGTCGTTTAAATTAGTCTTCAAGATGATCATACATCACGTTCGTGTTTAACCCTATCGATTTTGTAGGATATATAACGATGGTGATATTAATCTGAATAATTTAGAAGTATCGTATTTACTGTAAATTAGTAAATTCACTTTGTTTTTTTTCTTTCTAATACAGTATATTATAGGCACAAAGATTTTACATATCAATCACGACTTCAAATTTGCTTTCATATGACGTTGTTCGTTTGACTAATAAAGACAATTAAAAAAGTATTTTGTTGACTACTCAATTTGAAATGTGACTACCATTTGATTAAAAAGAAGTTGTGCAATACATTGTTTTATAGAATTATATGCACGTTCATCTGCCTTCTCTCCCTCAGAATATACGCCCACACATGATGCCTTTGTTTCTCAAACTATAAATGTGGAGGTAGGCTTGTACACATTCAATTTTTTCGTTAATTAATAGCACTATGTATATTCTTGCACTTGTCATTGACTTCTGTTCATTTTGTGCAAAGTAAATCTCTATTTTTTCTGGAAAAATCTAACCTTGGAGGTGGGCTTCTATTTTGTGGGAGAGATGAAATTAATAAAAAAAAAATGAATTATTATGGATAATGTCATCAAACACATGTGTTCTGCATTTATTGAACGAATATTATTTATGGCCGTCGTTGAATTATTAGTTTTTTATGGTTAAGAAATCTTTAAATATTGTTCTTCGTATTGAATGCTAAAAAAAGAATCCTTTGAATGCTAAATTACTCAAATCTTATGAATAAGACATCATCTACTATTTTCTTCGTTTTCTTTATCTAAGGACTAGTATATTCCAATAAAAAAAAAACAACTGCACTCAATTTTTCTCTTTTTCTTGCATTGCCTTTATCTTTTTTTTCTTTTTTTTTAATATTCTATCAGACGCTCATGAAATGCTTTCATGCCACAAATGTAAATGTTTGCTTAATAGTTGAGTAAAACCAGAGATTATATGTAATGCATGACATCTATAAAAAAAAATACTATTCAAACTGAAAAAAAAAGAAAATAATGTGAGAGGAAAAAACATTTTACAAGCGTCAGCATGCCTTCATCATCAACTTCAAAACCTGATTTTGTCCCAATAGAATCAATTATTGCATTTATCTTTATTGGTGTAATGATTCTTGTTGGTCTTATTGCACGATGTCTTGCATTAAATCATTCGACTGTTCGTAGTACACAAAATCTCGATTTAATGATATATAGGCCAGCACCAAAACCTGTTCCGGTACAAAAAGCTAGACGTCCATCAATAGAAGACAAATATCATTCAAATGAAGATAGTCGAGATCAAATAACATCATCTGAAGATTCAGTAACACCATCTCGAATTCAACGAGGACCAAAAAATCTTTGAATACAATAACACATACAAATTCACATGATGATTAAAAATTTTTATCATAAAAACAAAAGCTTTGAATTTCTACTATATAGTTCCTAAAAGTCTTTATATTATTGTATAGTTATGGGTTTTTTTTTCTGTATAAGTTCTCGTCATTGATGAATAATGCTTGTGTAATCTGTTAACTGTTCAACATTATTTGAGCTTCTTGTAAGCAGTTATGATTCAAACTGCTTATTTTAAACATCTATCGTTTTCTTTTCGATTATATTCTAGAAAGATATTCTTATCATATTTCTTTAGTAATATTTTATTATGTAACTCTATTGATTAGAGCTGAAATAATGAGTACAACAATATAGCTTTTTAATTCTTAGAAATCGAATAAATTAAGACTTCGCTAAAATCAAGCAAGATTATTCATGAAATACGAAAATTTACTTTTAAATAGCTTTCTTGACCTGGATCTATTAGAGCCAAAATGCATTGTTGTATCAAAGAAGATTATTTTCAAAATTAAAAAAAGAATCAAATTCTATTCTCATTCAAATGACAAGCATTTATATCAGCTAAACTCTATGATTGTTCCGTTTAAATTCATGGATGTTCACTAGGAAATCAGAGGCAAGACGCCGTTTCCGATCGATAAACTTCACAAAACTATAGGAACTTGAAGGCATCAATATGATTATTGTACCTGGTGACCTGACCTACTCGATTCACAGTTAGAATGACGAAAATTCTACAACCGGATTCCAATATTTTATTCATGCTTGCAAATTCTTACTATTTTCCTGTAGGAATTGATGATGCATTATTCGCCTGAGAGACCTTAATCGAATGATAGAATATTCCAATATGTAGCCTTATATAATTGAAAAGGACATGACATATTAAATAAAAAGCAGGAAATCAGTTAAAAAGCAAAGTAAGAGAAAACAAGAAAGAAAATACGTGATAGAACGAAGGAAACATGAAGCTATAGCTAACAACATCTTTATACTAAGAAAAAAAATTGAACACAAATGGATAACACCTTTTACATAAGTTCAGTTTTGTTGGACGGCTTAAGTACGTGTTGTAACCATATATTTACAGAAAATATTCGCGGCTGCAAGAAGACGATACCAAAAGCATTGCGCCTTTTTTTCCATCACGTTTTTCCTTTTTTTTGAAAAGGAAAAGATCAAAAATAAGTTCTGATACTAGATCAAATAAACTTCAAAATGCATTTTTTTCCACCATGATTACCGCTTCTCTCTCTACTAAAGCGCTCCACTTTACTTAAATTCTTGATCCGTCGCTGACTGAAAAAAAGAACTGAAATTCGATATAAAATTCGAAAAAAGTCTTTTCGACAGATAAGTATATTCTTTTTAGACTGTTTGTAAGTTTTTTTATGAAAAAAAAAATAGTAATTACTTTCTTATTTTCAAGCCAATTAATAATAAGATTGAAAAAAAGATCACATAGTGTATCTGTCATTTCCTCGTATGTAATACATTCATTGAACGTCAGAGATTCATCTAATTTGACAGAAAACCTTACAAAACTAATTATGCCCCAATTGAGATAGTTATGAATAATCTATAGATTCTTTTTTCTTTTGCAAACTATCAAAAGTAAACAATTAATAACAGAATGCACTAGTCAAATCTACATATCAAGGTTAATCATGCTAAAAAATCTAAAAATTTACTAGGAATAAACAAATCAATGCTTTTCCTATTTTATCTTTACTTTTAACAATAATGTAAGTTTTATACAGCTTCTGGCACTAAAAAACATCTTTTTTTGTCCTGAATCTATTATCAAAAATTTTAGTTTTATAATATAAGGAAATATAAAGATACTAGACAATATTTCCTCTTTATGTACTGATTTGGTTTTATATTCTGACAGATGTCACAAACTTAAAAGCAACGACAATTTTTTAAACAGACGTCATTTTATAATTCAAAGTACAAAAGAATGTCGCATCAACCAATTATCTCGATAATAATATTAGACGAATGACAAGATATTAATTAATGAAATAATGACTGCAAAGCCTTTTATTTAGTTGACATGGTCAAATTATTTTCTCGTTTGATAGAAGTATCAAACTGGTATCTTTTAAAACAAAAAAAAACGAGTAAGCAAATTTAAACCAGTATTTTCTTCTTTTGCAACAGAATATGTGGGTTAAGTATCATTTAAGTGAAACACAAACATGTAGTTTTGAAAAAAATACTAATCAATCATTTGAATTAATTTGTTTTTCATTCAGCCTTCACATTTCTGTTCGGTATATCATTTTAGCTATTCAATTTCTATGCCTCACTATAGTTGGGTCATTATTATGGTAAGTCATGATTGTTTTCCATCATTATCTACCAAAATAGATATTTTAATTCTTTTATTTATTAGAGTTAAACTGAAAAATTCTGTAGTTGAGTACCAGAAACACGAGGTCAAATTCATTAAAAAAGATACGCAAGCAATACTGATAATGCTTGTCGAACACAAAAACAGGTGTTATATTTTTAGAGAAAAGAATTAGAAGCATTTCGATGGAAAGGCATAAAAATAAACTTAAAAGTTAATGAAATTAATTTTAAAATCTAATTAGAGAAAAGTTATATTCGATGAGTTTTATATGACTGCATCCAAAATAAGGACATTCTTCTATCAAAACAATTAAGTTGGTTCTTTGAACAGTATAGTCATGATTATACGAATAAATGTCGTTAGCGTTCATATATATTATATATTTATATTAAAATGTTTTTATTCTAGGGCTCTGCACAAATTAAGTACGATCTTACTTTTGTCTTCGTAATTATTAAAAAAGTATTGTGTTTAGATAATTCATCACTTGATGTGAACTACAAAATTTCCTCTTAGGCATTTCTACATTGTTTTAATAAATCATCCATATAATCATGATAAATTCAACTAGAAACTGATGAATAACAATTTTTCTTTCATCACTTTCATTTCCTTGCTTTGTCTTTTGGAAAATAGATAGTGCACGCAAAGATTTAGAAGTCATTTTTTTTTCTTTTCTTACTATTGCATGTTAGATTGAAAACGCTTCCCTTCAGCTCTAATAATAAAAATGAAAATCTTTCTTTATAATATAATAATAGTATATAATTATCTAAGTATCATATATCTAGATATAATATAATAAGAACAGCTAAGAAAATTGATACTTTAAATGCCGCTGAGTATGCTATTCTGTTACGTGTTATTTTTTGTTTCAATAGATTTGATTTTGTGAAGTTTTGCAGTTTATCAATTTTCTTTTTCTTTGATAAAAGCGACATGTCTTTCAACTTTTTTCTTGTAATTTTAAATAGTATCTTTTTCTTTTCTCATAATAAAATATGTAATTCCATTTTACATACTATTTTTCGAAAGTAAAATTCAATGTTTTTATTTTGAGAAGGAATATTTTTAAATTTAGTTATAATGTAAAATTTCCGCGAGCTTCAGTTTTTTTTGTTGACATAGACACCAGAGCGATTGGACTCGTTTTCTAACTAAAAAGCTTTTGTTTTCAAAAGCTATTTGTAAAACTAAAGTTCAGCATGAAAATGTTGTTATGAATAAGAGTAACATTACATTTGAATGACAATTGTCTTTTTTTTTATGACAAACTTTCTACAAACTCATTTTCGTTAATGAAAATAATTGAAAAAAAATTCTTCTACATATTTTGCGTAATTGCATTGATGAAATCTTTTAATACAGGAAAACTTTTGGATATTTTCACATACGGTTATTTTGCTTTTCTTTTTTTATTCCCATCTGGCATTATTATTTTTTTTAAAATCTCTTTCTCTATAATGTATGGATATACATTTAGCATTAAATGAAATTCAGTTCAGTGTTCATGTATGATTATCTATGCTATTTTTCTCGCAGAAACACATCATTGAGATATTTGACGCCTTACTTCATACATTGTTTTCATTGGTTGATAAGACAATTAACAAAAGATTTACTTTTCATCTATGAAGAGTAGATTTATTGAATAATGTTAGAGGAAAAAGAATAATTCTCTTAATCAACGATGTAGAAAATGTATTGTAAAAGAGAATTTCATAGAAAAACTAATAAAGGAGTAAGGTTTTTCTTCTTTTTATTAAAAGGCACATCAAATATTCTTCATAAATATATACATATATATTCATTAAAACATAAATACCAGCTATAAGAGTATCTTTATTATTCAATACTAATTGGAATTGATAACTTAAAAATTTATTTAGGTAAGTTTGCCTGATTGATTTATTTCTTTATATCATATATAACGCGAAAAATAGGGCTCTATTCACATGCAATACTAATAAATAAGTAAGTATTTTTCATGTAAAATATGGATTCCTAGGTTTTTTTTGTTTTGTTTTTCTAAAACTATCTAATTCATGCTGAAGATGGAATAGCATGATTAATAAGAAAGTAGATTAACATTTTTGTTTTATTTACTGTCATGTTCTTGTCAACGTATGTCATATATGAGGTAGATGGATGGCATGTCTGACTATCACCCTACATGTTTTTATTCTATTAGATTATTTTTGTAGCTATCAGAAAAATTCAACCAGAAGTACCGACATAAACTATATAATGAAAATAAATTGAATATCTAGTTTGTGTTTTTTTTTGCGTTATCTCAAATATATGTCTCACATAGAGTTTTCTTTTTATTCGTAGTATTGGTCTAAACTAGTGGCGTATCCAGATGGGGGCTAAAGGGGGGCTCAGTCCCCCCTCCCCCTACGAAAATTTCTATTCTTGTAACTTTGATAATAAACACATTTATTATTTGTAGAATGCAGTGTGGTTTATTTTATTTCTATGTAATAGGATATCAAAATATAATCCATAATTACTTTTTTTTCAAATCTTTGGACATTTCTTGTAGGCAAGAGTGTAAAAGTTAGTGTAAAGTCGAAAAAGCAATATAATTGAAAAGATGTGTATGCAAAAGAATGGTTAATTTAATTGAACCTCGTGAAGACTGAATCATTTTACACACACATTTTTTATTACAATATAACACTTTCACTAAGCACAGAACGTTAATTCATGCAAAATAATAAGAAAAAGACTCGTGATCCTTATTTTTCTTTATTTGCTCAAAAGCAGAGTAAGCATATAGATTCGAACTTTGACGATAGTATCAATAATGAAAATGTTATTGACAACTATTGTCTAGAAACGTTTGTTCGAACCTATCAAGTCTGCAGAAACTCTTCGTCTTAGTTTTGCGCATGGGACAGTTTTTCTCTTTTATGATAAACTCTACATCTCTACTCAAAATGCCAACATTGAAAACGTACATAACATGCACCTTAAAGAAGAGCCTTAATAGTGAAATATCTACCGATATTATTGATATCATTCATTCATGGCAAGATCCATCGGTTCAACTGAAGCTTATTTCTTATCCAAGAAATCATGAAAATCGGTCATGCATAGTGACTTGGTTTCATGGACGACCATGACTTGAATACACAATTCAACGAAGCCATAGTTACTGTAATTATTGCCGTCATTTCAGTATACCAATGTTATTATCATATGAAAAGTTTTAAACTGATGCATTCGTCAATAATGGATTTTAACATTGGAAAAAAAGCTCTTGATCAATCGAAAGGCTTTTATCAACATTTAAAAAGTCACAGTATTATTTTAGAAGGAAGCAATTATGCAGTTTATCTACAAAAAATACAATCACAACGCAAATGTTATACATATGTCAGACAAAGGTGAAATAAAGCGGATACGTCGAAACTGAGAACGACTAACGAAAATTACATCGCCCTTCTTATGTGTACTTATACTTCTTTATTATTTTCGTTATATTGTCCAGAAAGAACTCAAATCGTTTATATTCAGCTTCATGAAAAATAGGGGACTGAGCTCCCCTACGAGATTTTCCTGGCTACGTCTCTAGTCTAAACTTTTTTAGATGTAACAGAAAATCTCATCTTAAATGGATATTATTTATCTCATAATCAACATATTACTTTAAGGTGTGTCCTAACAGGAAAAGGGTAGGGTGAACGCTTAATCTTGCAAAAATTTTCCTTTTTCCCCAACAAAACTGATCGATTTTCTTTGTGTCTTTTGTTTATCAACTTCTGCAACAAGAGTTACCTCCTTTGCAATGTCATGAAGTCAACCTTCTTAGTAGTCTCTCCCTCAATCTTAATGACTACAGAACATCTCTTATTATTTTATATATCGATACATCCTACTAGTTTATACACAAGTTAATGCATAATAATATGAAAACTAGACGTTTCTGTTTTTGACGGAGTAGTGGAACGTCTCTTATAGGACAAAAACTAGAATATGTGAGACAATATTATATTATTGATAATGGTGATAGGTAGTAAACTATTTTATTTATATTATTAATCATCATGTATCCTCATTCAGCCACATTTAGTATACACAACATTGTTAAATGAAAAAAAAATGAGTTTCACATTATTTATAGTTCTGTTTTTTTTCTTTTGTAAAAAAACATGCACTTAGTTCTATGTATTTAACGATAAATATAGTATCACTAGTTCAATACTTATAAAAACTTCATTTTTATTAATTTATATTGAAAAATGAATTATATAATTAGTTTAATTTTTGTAAATCAAAACTTGATTTACTTCAAAAGACAAAAATAAAAGAAAACAGTTCATTAAATTATTTTACATTAGTTGTCTTCAGAATAATTTATATTCATTTATATATCTGCGTGGTTAATTAATTCTATTAAATTCATTTATTTGTAATCATGAACACAACTTCTTTTGCATCTTATCAAAACAACTCAATGCTAAGTAGTTACATTAATATCATGGGAAAAAGTACCTTATTCCATTTTCTATTTAGTATAACATGAAGTCTTCATTAGTTTCTTTTTTTTTGTGTCAGCAACAGTGTATATTTAGGTCACAGAACACATTTAATATATATAAGTATGATGAATGGTAATAATTCTTTGATGTAAAGGAAATTATCTCCAGGATGAGAAAAATAGACAAAAAAAAGAGAATCAAAGTAGAATACTCGATTCGTCATGCGTTTTTCTTCTGAGAAATAAAATATTGTTTAAATGAAATATTTCATTTATTTCATCATTAGAACAAAATCCATTGAAAATATAGTTTAGTTAAAATGAATCTGTTGAACAGTTTAACAAGAAACATAAATTACAATTCAATTTATAATTATTTCAAGTAGATCATTCTCTTTCAGTTCTTATAATTTATAATTTAGATATCAATATTTGTATAATCTGATTATTCTGATAATAAGTTCAAGATAAACAGATCGGTACGAATTCTTATTTATAAAATATGTTACAGACTTCATCACTTCTCATAAATTCTTCCTTTGTTTTTTGTTTAATTTAGAAAAACATTTAATGTCGTGTTGAGCATATAAAGTATATCGATCAATCATATTCTTAAAAGTAGTATGATGGAAAAGGTTTATTATTATAATATTTTCCTTTAGTCTTTGTTGTTTTTAGTATAGACAATGAGATATATATACTTCAATTTGATTGAAAATGATCCATTGAATTTGATTTTCATAAAAGACAAGAAATTACTATAATTTTATTTAAAACATAATAACAAAAAGTGTGCAGAAAAACAAAAAATTGATATTTTTCGCCAGTTTTTTTTTCTATTCTAAGAAAATTTTTGAAAATCATTAAATTATTTTTCATATATATAAATAAAATATTTAAATTTCCTTCAACAGAAAAGACACATTACTATCTGATTAAGATAGATGAAGTGGCATGAAAAGTTTTTTTTTCACATGCATTCTTTCTTTACAATACTTCATCTTCAATCTGTTGAAGGAAATAATGCCCAATACTAAATTTATCAAATCCTATGAAATAAGATTTAGTTCTTGGCAGGAAACGAAGCTTAAGTGAATCTATTAATGATGTGTTATTGTATCTCCTGAAAATCTTCTCAAACGAACGTATTATGCATCACAGCATGCATCAAAAAAATTATATAGAACTACATTAGATTTTTTTTCTAGTATAAAATGAATAGTCTTTATTATATGGTATATAAGGTTTTTCTCTCAGAGTATAATTTTTTTCATAAATTAACTTTTTCCTTTCATGATAAAGATATATTATATTCCTCGTCAATATATGCTGACGGTGATATAAGTAATCTACTAATAATAGGTATACTTATTTGTTTTTATCAATGTTTTGTCTTAGAAAAGAAAGATTCATATGAGACTTTGAACTTAATTTTAATTATTAATTAAACAGATGTAATGGTAGAATCATAGTTAATTCTATGTTGGAAAAATGCTATTCGGACATGATTCATAAACCTTCTTGTGAAATCAATTTCTTCATAAGAAAAATTATTATCTCGATTAGGTGAACGAATAAAAATAGGCTTAGATCGATGGCATTTGAATAGACAATCATCTTATAGCAATTAATATTTTAGGCAGAAAAGAAAATGTGACCAGAAAAATCTTAATTAATTAGATGATTCATTAGATAACGAATCATTTTTTAATTTCTTTTTTTTTTTAATCTAAAATTCTTTGTATTTTAATGGCGTTTGAAAGAACCAAAGTACTTAAGATAAAAAAAGAAAAGACAATTAAAACAGAAGATTCATAAAAGACATTTTTATCACATAAATTATTATTTATTAAAAATTTGATTGTTTCCTTTGTTACATATTCTGTTGTAGAATAGTTTTCTAAAAAGAATATTTATGAACAGAAATGATAATTAAGAGAACAGAATTGTTTTTTTCTTTTTCTAAATGACGAGTCTATTCTTATTCATTTTACTATTAGCAATTTTTTAGATGAATAATTTGGCAGGAATAGCTCATTGACGATTATTTTTATGCATAGAAATATGATAATAATAAACGAAACAATAATAAGCAATTTGTCTGAAGAACACGGTGTTCCATTAGTTGCTAGTCGTGTTTTACTTATATTTTACTTTTTAATTTTTATTTTTGGTGTTATTGGTAATTTTTGAAAAATTGAATTTATTACATCAATTCATTGTTGTTGTCGTTTGTTTTTTTTTTCAACTAGGTAATTCGATGGTTATTTATGTAGCTATTCGAAAGAAAAATTATAGAAATGTTACCAATTGTTATGTTATTAATTTGGCTATAGCTGATCTTTTATTTTTATCACTTTCAATTCCGTATACAACATATTTAGGTGTGAAAAATCAATATCCATTTGGTGATACTATATGTAAAATTTATACACACCTTGCTTATGTAAGTTAATTAGAATTTATATCAAAATTCTAATCATTTTCCTTTCATAGGGATTTTTACAAGCTACTTGTAATATATTAGCTGTGATGAGTATTGATCGGTTTTTATATATTGTTCGACCGAGATCACAACTTGGATGGCGTACACCGCATAATGCTTTTATAATTTGTATTATCATCTGGGCTTGTAAGTTTATTCAATAAATATTCATTACTATGTTGTATGTTTGTTTGCACTAACGTCAGTATACGGGCTGCAAAGAGTCGTTCAGAGGACAACTATAGGTAGACTGACGGTCAGAAGATAGCTGACCATTTGAGTATCAACTTACTACCAGTTGACTGGTAAGGTCAGATAGTAGGGCCTTAAGTCTTGAAGTTTCATGAAGTCTTACGAAGTCCTTTTAAGTCCGTAAGCTATAGCTTTTGTGAAAAACGATAAAAAGAGTGTTCAAGTGTACAGTAAAAAGTGAGACCCTCGTAACCACCTCCCCCATTTCTACAATCGTAGCAGACATCATTAGTAATGTTTTTTATTCATCACAGACCATGCCAGATGTCTTAAAAACGTTATCCCTCACCCACTTCTTACAACGTATGCCAATATCTTCTCGTTATAATATATGAACTACTTTTTTATTTCATTTTTTGAGGATTAAGTAACCAGATGGAAAAGAAATATGTTCCAAAATAGAAAGAATAAAACCGTCTCTCTCTCTGTGATTAACATCAGGAACTATATTGTGTTTTACATTCTAATCACGCAGGAATTACAGTAACACCTTTTAATGCATGTTGAAAAGTCATGAAGTCCCTAAAACCTTAGTGAAATCTTTTTAAAATTTGAAGTCTAAAATTTCTCTCTCAGTTGAGTGTTAGTATTTCGGTGTTTCTTTTTTGTCACTATCAGCAAGTAACATGGGTATAATATACGTTATACAGACGGTTTACCAGTTTTTTTGTTCGAACTTGAATTGCATGGATTACTGTATACAGAAATATTTTCTTTTTGTTTTTAATATAGGTTCCTTAATTCTCATTATTCCTTATCATGTAATATCACGTTTATTAACATCAGCTAATACTACTTGTGGAATGAATGAACATGAAAATTTGATTGTTTGCTTGTTTCCATTTTGTTCTTATTATGCCATACCTCTTGTTGTGATTATTGTATGTTATACGAATTTGGCACTTCATGTGATAAGAACAAGTCGAAAAATGGTTGGTTATATGAACACTGTATGAAACCTAAAAATAATTTTGAAAGAAAAAAAATTTAAATTATCATTTTTTTGTCTTTTTCTTATGTAGAAAAGTTTCAATCAAACGGTACGAGTGAAACAACGACGAGTAACACGAATGGTAAGATCATTTTATTGAATTAGATTGTTTTAATTATTCCAATGATATTACGATAAACATAGCTTTGTAACAGCGAATACAAAATATTTTCATTTCTAAAAACAGAAAAAGTAAACATGTATGACATTTGTATTGATTTATGATGTATTTAAAATAGTTTCATAAGAAATTAAATATAAATTTTTGAGATTAAAATTTTTCATATTAAGTCCCCCTCCTCCTCCCCCTTTGAAAAATCGATCTCAGCCCAGAAACGTCCGAATTGGCTGAATTTGCAGGATATGTTGGGACTGTAGTGAGGAGGCTATGGCAAAATTTTCAACTCGATACCATGACGTTTGACAGAGATATGAACCAAACAATGGTCAAAAATAGCAAATTTGGCAAACAAGATTTCTCTGTCAAGGGTCGTATAAAATATTTATTTTTTTTTTGTTTGAAAGAGCATGTCAAGATGCAGTGCACCAAAGAGTCCTGTTTTCTAAATACTTACTTTTTAAGCGAAAAAAAGAGATGACAAATTCAATGACTCAAAAAAACCCTAAAAATGGCGTCATTTCTATATAGACATTCTCGTATATGATAATAACAAAGCTTATGTTAAAAAAAAGGACTCTTTGGTGCACTGCATCTTGACATGCTCTTTCTAACAAAAAAGAAATATAAATATTTTATACTAGCCTGAGAGGAGAATTCTTGCTTGCGCGTTTGAGAAAGCATAAACTGAGAAAAAACGAAAAGAATTTTCGGTTTTTTGTTAAAGCAGCCAATTTTTTGAATAGAGGGCAACGAAAATCTTCGAAAATTTTGGAAAAAATGAGGTATCGTGTAAAAATTTTTGTCATTTATGAAAGATCTGAAGCCGGGCTATCTTCCCATGCATTTATCTCAATTTCGGAATTTCTGACGAAAATGGACTTTTTTTTGAGGAGGGAGGGAGGGGGCTTAAAACTTCATTTATATATGAGAATATAAATAGATGCGAAAGATTTTATGAATGATTGCTATATAATTATGATACCTGAATGAAAGACCCTTATTTATTATCATTAAAAATAGATGCATTGTGTTGTAATCTATTATATAAAAGGTTATAGTAATATTCAAAAGTAGAATAAAACGTTCGAGCACTATTTGATAATTTTTATATGCTCAAATGAGTCTTTAAATTCTTTTGAAAATGATTTATATTTTACTAAAAACATCATTCTTATAAAACTAGCTATAAACGAGTAGTATTTCATTAGATAACCAACAGAATATTGAATTTTAATTGTTTGTCATCTGTAGAAACAAACTTTTCTTTTTTAAAATTGATTTAGCGCGTCTAAAATTCAGTAAACTCGTCTACGTTATAAATGATTCTCAAAATATTTCTTAACTTAATTCAGAAGGAATGTTTCTATCACGAAAGATAAAAAGGTGAGAGTTTTTATTTTTTACCAAGCATGAATAATATTGAGATTGGAATTATAAATTTCTTCTATTGTAATTAACTTGGAAGAGATTAATTCCGAGTATCTATGGATATAATATTTACATTGTGATTGAAACAAAAAACATGATCGATTCATGTTCAAAATGGCGTGCTAAAGTAGATGAGATGCTTGATTTGGAGGAAATGAAGCTATTAAAAGTCATCAGAGTCGAAAAAAGCAAAAGGTCACATGAGACACTTTATAGAAACATTCTTACATGTTAGATTGAATACAATTCATCAGTGATTATCAATTACACATTCTTACAGTATATAAAACTAAAAATTAAAAATTCCTTGGTCATATTAGCATTAGCAGCACAAAAAAATTAGACTAGAATTGGGGTATTAGCAAGAATTAAAGAAACGTATGATTCAAGCTAATAATATTCCAGGTCATTCGAAATAGGATGAATGTCATGCAAATTGTTTCCTGCAATTACTTATTCGTAAAAATATTGTTGCTTTCAAACCTACTTTCGCATAAAAGTTAAACTATCAGGCAAGTCTATAATTTTATAGACTTATCAAAATGACTTGCTCAGTATTAATATAGACTACGACAACATTCATGAGAGTGTGACAACTCTCTCTAACGAAAATGTTTTTATCTTTAGGTCGAAATAATTTCTCAGAACTTTTCGCTTCCGAAGGCGGTCACATATTCGACAGCTGTTAATCAATGCAATAACTATCGAATTTCATTAAAAACTCTGAAGTTTATATTAAGTTGTCGAAAAATAGACAAGCTCATTTTATTGTCGAACATGACATAGATTTTTGTTTTTTACTTTCTAAGATTTTAGTCATCACATAAGACATGAGATTAATTCTATTTTTGAGATAATATTTTTAAAGTCTTTTCAAACTCATTTATTAAAGATAAGAGTGAAGAAGTTCACATAGTCACTGAAGAAATTCCAATGAATGATTCTTAATCGTGTTGCCAACAAGATAAATAATTCCATTATATTAAATCAAAAAAAAAGATTTCGAAAAACAAAAGAAATGTCCTACCATAACCCTTTCTCGATCGCATCACCCCTTACCATCATGAATTCATGTCTAGAGCGTAAAAGCATCAACAATACACATGTTCTCATCACGTATGACATGTCACAGACAATCATTCTCTCTGTGATTTTAACACTTTTTTTTTGTACCACTTCCAATGAAGAGTGGTTCCATGATTAGTTGCTATTGTCAGTTATCACAAAAATTCTTTGATACAGTCAATGATATCAATATTTCTTTTGTAAATAAATTTTTTTAGGTTATTGTTGTGACACTAGCATTTGCTATTTGTTGGTTACCAATTCATGTTCTTGAATTAATGAAATGTGGTAAACCACAACTCCTTGGTTCTCTTATTCAATCATATCCTAAAGTTCTTTATTCAATACGTGCATTTACACATGCATTAGCTTATTTTAATTCCTGTTTAAATCCTTATTTATATGCATTATTGAATCGTAATTTCTGTATTGATCTTGCTGATATAGTACCATCATGGATGTCATGTTGTAAGCAGTCTATTACAGTTGAAAATGAACATTATAATCATGGACAAAAATTATCAACAGTAATATTATCAAATCAAATTTTTCTTTCAAAAAAATATGATGATCCAGATGAAGATGATATAGATTATTATGAACAAAAACAAACAACAAATGATGCTAGTTGTCGAGTTGAATTACTTGGAATAAAAGTTAACAATATGTCATCAAAATAGTTCTTATGAGTATGAATGAATGAAACGAACTTATAGAAATTTTTCTTGTTTTCTTTTTTGCTTATTATATTCAAATAAGATAAAGCAAGAAAAACAAAAAATTTTCTTTATGATAAATTTTATTAAGTAGCAGTCAGTATCAATGGACAATATATTATACAATTATCACAGGTATACCTATATTGTCAAAATGGAATGAAAAGACAAAAAACAGAAATACACAAGCATAATATGAGTTGATAGTGGACATTAAAAATACCATTGCGAATATTATTGATCAAAATCAAATATAGCAGATAAGAATAATCGAAGGAAAAAAAGTTAAATCGAATAAATGATCAAAAAAAAAAAAAAAACTAGTTTGCTGATATCATTTATCTTCTCGAGACAAATTCATGAGTCATCAGCTTAGAGCAAAATAGAAAGGCAAAGTTCAATTTTACGATAAATATTCTTTGTCATATTCAGCTCGATTGAGTTCATTCCAACGACGATGTGGATTTTGTTTTGAATAGCGTAGAGAAACAAGATGACCAACTTCATCCATTGCTCTTAATGCCTAATTAACAAGAATAGAATATAATAATAATAAAAATAAAATCAAGAAAATTTATTTTTAATTACATGATCAAGCATTTCTTTGGTATGACCAGCTGAAATACAAAAGCGTACACGTGATTCAGTTAATAGAGTCGCTGGAAAACCAACAGTAACAACAGCACAACCACGTTTTAACATTTCTCGATTAACAGCTCTAGAAAAGAAAAGAAACAAATATCAAAATATTTAAAAAAAGTGTTAATTAAAAAATTTTCCTACGCTATTTTAGCTGGCATAAAAATCATAACAGGTACAACAGGTGAATTATCATTACCATAAACAATAAAACCCATATCAACAAGTTGTCGACGAAAATATCGCACATTACAAGCTAATTGTTGAATGCGTTTTTGACCTGAACTTTTTTTGTACATTATATTTCATACCTAAATCAAATATCTTACCATCATTAGTACCATCACGACCCATAATTATATTTAATGCAGATATTATTTGAAGAACAACAGGTGCGGACATACTCGATGAATAACATGCAGAATGAGAATGAATACGAATATGATCAATCAATGTCTATTTTCAAGAAAAAATATTATTAAACATAACAAAAAAAACATTAAAAAAATGTTAAGATTCTACCTTTTTTCCAGCAATATAACCACCAGCTGATCCAAAGCTTTTCGTAAATGTACCCATATGTATATCAATATCATTAGGATCAACTTTCCAATAATCAACAACACCACGACCACGTGGACCAATGGCACCAATTGAATGTGCTTCATCAACATATAAATAAGCTTTATATTTTTTTTTTAGTGCGATTATTTCTGGTAATTTACATAATGAGCCTTCCATACTAAAAACAATAATAATATTACCATCGATAATCAACTAAAAAAAAAATATATATATACCTGTATACGCCTTCAACAATGATTAAAATCTTTTTCCATGGTCGACATGTTCGAGGTTGGCCGTGAATAATAGATTTACGTAATTGTAATTCCAAATCTTCCATATCTATTATTAAAATTAAAAATTTATATTTTAAATTAATTCATTGTCAATAACTTTAACTAAATAATTTACAATTGAAATATAATGATAAAACAATATATTCAGTGTTAATTATTATAATAATCTAATCTATATAGTAAAATCAGTTTCCTATTCATGATTGTTTTCTTTCGAACAGATATTGATTTAAGACAGTCAACATCATGAGAAAGGAAACAAAATACATTTTTCTTATAACAGAACATTGAAAGACGCTTTTCAAATCGAATTTTCTATGATTATGGATATCCTTCTATTCAAGTTGGACTAGTTCTCTATCAAACAGATCTTATCCTTCTATTAATTGTGACATTTTCATTAAATTTCTATTTATACTATATGAAATTTCTTTCCATTCATAAAAACAAAAATAATGACTTTTAATTCAAATTGTTCATGCTACCAAGCTAATATTCATTTCATAGTTCACTTAACATTTAAAATAATCGGATATTAAAAAAAAAACAAAGATAGAATTTCTTATCATACGAGAACAATAATTCTTTCTTATTAAAATATTTACCATTATGATCAAATGTACGAACAGTTGCTCCAGATAAACGAGCACCAAGTATAAGTGAAACATGATTAAGTTTGTCACTAAGTATTAAGTCACCCTATGAATAAAAGAGAAAAGGAAAACATTAATACTTTTTTTTGTTAAGCCAGTGGCGTACGCAGAAATTTTCCAAGGGAGGGGCCCAAGTTCTTAAGGAGGAGGCCCGTAATGGAGTTTTTCAAAAATTTGTACCGTAGTACTTTTTTTACCCGTACTCCCCCACAGGAAAATTTTCTTCAAGGGGGGGGGGGGGGCGGGGGCCCCCTCGGCCCCCCTGTGTACGCTACTGTGTCAAGCAATAATTTTAAACAAAAATCAATTTACTTTTCCAACTAATGCCGGAATATTTAATGCATTTGTTGCAAAACCCATACCAAAAGCAATACAATCTTCCACATTTAAATATTCAGCCATTAGAGATTCAAGTTCTTTCATATATTGTTGATTACCCAATTCATGACGTGTACTACAGGTTGTAACACCATATTTTTCTATAGATTTTATTGCTTGTTCAGAACATGGACCTTTATTTTCAGCAAAACCCAAATAATTATATGAACCTAAATTAATTGATGGAATTTTTCTACCACTAAATCTATATAAAAAAAAATAAGAGACTATTGTTTTTCGAAAAATTTAAAATAATTTTTCTTACTTAAATGTCCAATTAAAATCATCTGAAAGACGTTCCATAACATGAACTTTAGCTCCAGCAACACTAGCTATGGGTTGATTAAATACATCACGTATACGTGTATATAAATTACGTGTATAAAAACATTCATAACTTTGATAAAGTGGTACAAAATCCTATTTATTTAAATAAAATCAAAAAGAAAATTTATTATTTTTTTATTTTGTCATTTTTTTTTTTGGTAATAAATATGAACATACTTTTGGATTTGGATCGTTGGCAGTTTTTTTCTTTTCTAAACCTATATTACGTAGAAAATCTCGTAACCAACCAAGTGCACTAAGAATTGCATAACCAAGAACAGTGATCACAGCAGCCCATGTTGGTGTTTCTTCAAATTTTTCTTGATTTTGATATTTAAACTCATTTTCAGATATAGACTTTAAATTAAAATGAAATAAATTTTTTTTTTATTTTCAAAAAATAAAAAATAAATAAAAATTATTTTACTTTCGACTTTGAATTTGATGATAAAGATTTGTTCATGTTTGTATCTAAACTTTGATCCATAGTAGTTATTGCTGATATCTATAAAAACAAAGTGACGTTGTGCTACGTTATGATTTTAATAAATAAAGTAAGATAAGTGTGTTTGATAACAATGAGAACAAAAAAAAAGAACGAGAAAAATAAATAATTTTTCTTTATTATTATTTTAACGCACACCCTCGCGAACTAACTTATTTTATCAACATCTGCATCATAACGAACGATAATGCTACAGAACAACTATTTGCATAATGATTGCTACACTACGCATCCACGCTTCTAGAAGTCAGAAACAGAACGCGTAGAAGAAGAAAAAAAAACTCCTTTGGATACTTGAAGAACAGCAACAAACACGTCTAGAGTAGTAATAGAATCAATGTCGTCAACGCATAACATACTAACAACCGTTTTCTTCGTTTGTTTCTCCATTTTATAGGCATCACGTCTTCTATTGTTCCAAATATATATATATTTATACCTACTTACAATATCATTTCTATCTCCTTTAATTAAACCATACTCAGAGACGTACAATATAGGATCAACTGCATTACTTGAAAACTATAGGATTCTACATGATTGACTCACACTTTAGGCTTTGTTGTCCTTACCTTCAACTCTTATTTTTACCTTTCGTACGAACAGGATGTACAAAAAAAAAAAGAAAAGAAAGAAATGTAAGCCTATCGATACATGACCGCAAATGCTCATTGTGGACTTATTTTCGGTGACGCATTGGATGTTTCATTTAATGAAACATGCTTTATATACGCGTATACACCATCGGTTGCTACGCATGCAAAAAAAGATTGCCTATATAGGCAAGAAAAAAAGGGAAGAAGAGAAATAGAAAGAAGAAGAAAGTGAGGAAGAAAGAAAGAAAAAAAAAATGAAGGAGGGTTTATAATTTTATGATCCATCTACTTACTCATCTATTTCAAAACATCTACATCTTCATGTAATATATCATAGATTCATTCTTAATAGGAAAGAATGAATTATAAAAATAAGAAAAATAGATGATTGATTAGCGTTCAAAAAAAAGAACAAATTGTTTTTTTCTATAAATATTTCTCAATGATCGATTCATTTTAATTCAAAAAAATTAATAAAAATATATATTTTACGTCAATTAAATATATAGAGTTCTCTCTAAAAATAAAAAACCTTGACAACTAAAAAGCTATGAAAACAGTTTTGTTTTCTGTCATTTTTATATTTCTGTGTTTGCGTTTGCTAATAAAACAAAATAGTGAATAGAACATTTATAAATATAAAAAGAATCAAAAAGACGATAGTCTTCAAGCGTTAATATCGCTTCTTTTTTTATGGGAGAGAAAAAAGAACGATAGAGCTACTGCTATTTTAACAATTGTAAATGAAAGAATGATTGCAAGACATTTCTTGTCTTTGAATACTTCTTTTTTTCTTACTAGATATTAACATCGGGTCATAATAGCCACTTCTTTTTTCATTTTCTAATTTCGATAATAAACGTTCTCTGCTCAGACGTCATTCCAATTCTTTAAATAGAATAAAATAATGAACCTAAAGATAAGTCTTTAAGAAGATTTAAAATATTACAAATACCAACTTTTCATAATTTTGACGAATATCATATTAAATAAAACTAAATAGGAAGAAATTCGAACATAGATGATTATTAAAAGGATATCAGAGATGCCAAATGCCTTACGATATTATGAATTTAAAATGAATGATACGTTTGTAATTTCGACTAAGTTAAATCGTTATTTATCGAGTAACTGAGCTTATGATTACATACTTATATTTTTTTTTACGATCTTTTTTTTTTTTTATACAAAACACATAATACTTGACATATCACTAAGTAAAAGAAAAACTTTTGTTAAAAATAGAACAAGCTGACGTCGTTAGTTTCATGTATATCAGATGCAAAATGGCTTTCTATGAGAGTATTTTAACCATTTACGATTAGTGTCATTCTTCTTTTTTTTTTATATATCGTTGAGGTAGTAGTACTGAAGATTAAATATGACAACAAAACAATAACTACTTGAAAAAAGAGAATAAATTGCTAATGGAATCGTTTAACAACTCTAATGTCATATGGACATGACCATTGCTATGTAGTTTAATGTCATGCATAACTTTTGTCTACTGTCAAAAATGGATATTTCTCAATGCAGAAAATGTTACTTTTTTTTTCAGCAACATTCAACTAATATCATCGAGTACATTTGTCTATTATTCTGATTGAATTCATAGAATTTTAATCAGATATTATTTATACACATGTATTCATTAAAAAAAAAACTTATTAATATATTTCATTAAATAGCAAAAAGATGCTCTATTATAATTGACATTTTTATAAAATAGAAACTAAATTTATAAGAATTTCTTTGTTTTTTCATACTAATACAAGACTATTTTTTATGAAATATTAATCGGAAATTTTAGCCGTATGAATAATCTATGACAGATTGAATCGTTTTTGTTTTATGAAATTCAATCTGTCGAAGAAAAATATTTTACGACTTTATTTTGTAATCTAAAACGTAGGAACACAAGCATTTATTTTTCGATTTTTACTTTGACATACATCTTAACAATAGAGAACGATATTTATAAACTATAGTCAGTTATTTAAGATTAATATCTGAGCAGAAAACACTATAATCTTAATAGACTCATAATAATCGAATATTTTAATGATACATTTGTTTTTTGATCTAACTAAAAATTATATATAGTTTAACAATTATTCGTCAAAAGAAACATTTTCATTATAATTAACATTTGTATACTATTAATTTTTTTTACAAAGGCATAAAGAAATTAAAATTATTCGGTTTAGATTAACAAACAAATTTATACATATTATTATATATCGTATTTTCTATATGAATCTGATTATAATGACAAGAAAATACACATGACGTTAATTTTATTGATAATTATATGAAAAAAATACGATACGAAAAATATTATTCTGTTTACATTTTTAAGAGTCTACCTTCAGTTTGATGAAAAACAAAGAATGAAAAAGAAATAAATACATATCTTCTCTCTTTTTTTTTTGTGATTTTACGGTTGACTAAACAAACTATATTATTTCTTGATAAAAAAAGTTGCTCAAAGTAATTTGTATATTTGTGATTTAGAATAATAAGTATTATACAAATGTCATAAAATGCACGTGTACTCTATCGATCGATCGATAAATGTAATGCAAATTGAAGATGAATCATTTTATTTAGATTTATAGAAATAGTTATGCGTCGTTAATAAATATAAAAAAAAAAAGAAGTTATTTCTCGATCAAAATATAAATGAGTAATAGAAGTCACAAATCTTTTTCATAGATGTTGTTGAAAACAATCGAAAACTCTTATTCATATTAATAAAGACAAGATTAAATTTATTGACTTTAACTTTCAATGAATAATATGAAAGTATCTCAATGAATCATAATATTTTTTTACTGTATTCAAAATAATATATTTTGCTTTAATTAGTTAAACTCATTTTGAATGATAATCCGCTTTTTTTTTTTCTTAGATGAAAATACCTCATCTTTTCAATTTTGTTGTCTCAAATCTAATCATTAAAAAAAAATCTTTTATTTATTAATAATTTTCTTAATTAAACTCAATTAAAATACAAAAATTTAACGACAACAAGGCTTACTAATGGACAAACTTTTAAATAAAATTTTTATCTTACGATCTTTGGCTAAATGATCTGCATGAAATCGAAAATTCAGTAAAATGATTGTAATCCCAAAACAGGAAAGACATAATTGTGAATTCTTTTCTAATCCTGCTACATTCACAGAGTACTACATATAGATAAATTACGAGCTCGATTGACGTTTAACAATTGAAGACTTTTCCTCGTTAAATTTGTAATTATTAAACAGTTCAGATTTTAAACAATTCATCTGTTATTGACTTTATAAACTATTAATATTTCTAGAAATAGTTATTTATCAATTCTCACCTGTGCTATTCTTTAAAATAAATGTACGCAATTGTGCATATGTACTAGAAGTATTATATGCGTTTATGTATTGCAGAAAATTGAAATAAAAAAGAAAAATAATTTTCGTTATGCATATTTGAAGGAGCTAATGAAGGTAGATGAAAATGATTTATAAAATTTCTTTCGCACATAACAATTTTTATATATTAACTTTTATCAATTAGATAATTATGTTAAGATAAAACAAATTACACGAGCTTTTTCAATAATGAACTAAATTATTCTACCTGGTTTGCTTACATTATATTTTGTAAAGTGTTCGAAATGTATAATTACATTTTTTCCTTTTCTTCACATCTATGGTTAGATAGAGCGTGACTAACTGATCAATACCTGTATGTCGTTTTATTTTTTTAGAATACCTTTTTAGAAAAGAACATATCAATTTTTTTGGATGATAACCTATTTTTTTTCTGAAAAGTACAAGTCGGTTTTTGAATAACCGACAATTTTCAAAACTGTTTGTTTCAGATGTAACATGAAAAAAAAAATAAATTTAAGAAATTTATTTAGGGGGAAAAAACTGATTTAAATCAGCTTCAAACTCATTTTATATCACAAAAATCAAGTAAACTCATTTTAAATCACGAAAATCATTTTAACTCATTTTAAATCACGAAACTCACATTAACTCATTTTAAATCACAAAAATCACTTTAAGTCAATTGTAACTCACTATAAATCGGAAAATAGCGAGCCGTGAGTTTATGTTTTAAAATGAGTTTCTGTGAGTTTTGTGATTTAAAATGAATTTATGTGAGTTTTATGATTTAAAATGAGTTTATGCGAGTTTTGTGATTTAAAATAAGTTTACTTGAGTTTTATGATTGAGAATGAGTTTATCTGAGTTATATGATTTAAAATGAGTTTATGTTAGTTTTCTGAGTTAAAGTGAGTTTAAGGCTGATTTAAATCGACTTTAAACTCATTTTAAATCACAAAAACTCATTTTAACTCAGAAAACTCACATAAACTCATTTTAAATCATATAA